TTGAAATAATATTTTGGGGAGACTGTCCCCCCCCAGACCTGAACTGCTGAATCAAAAACGGTGGGGGACATGGGAGAGGGTTGAAAGGTTTAACACATGCTCTTTGTGGGGGAGCCCCAGGATTGATCCCTGGGACTAAGTAATTCCCCCTACAAAACCAGCAGAAGAAGGGCCAGAGCGGTAGTACAGTGGGGATCCCGGGCGTTTGCCTTGCACACGGCTGAGTGCAGAGCCCAGAAGTGATCCCTGAGCCATGCTGGATGTACGTCCCCCAAATAAAACAAAAATGATACCACAACAGACACTGAGGACGCATAGCAAGCCCCCCTCCCCCCCAACTCCTTGCCAAATGGCTCGGAGAATGTAGCCTGGTGATGAAAGTCAGGACAAGGCCAATTAGTTGTGTCTGAAGTGTCCCAGGCCAGACCATCAGGGGTGCTTGGCTGCCCCACAGCGGGGTGGGGACTAACCGAGCCTTTCTGAAACCTGAGTCTGGGGCGAGAGCTCCTCCTCTGCATGGAAGCCCCTTTTCCGGCCGCTCCAGAGCCGGGCCAGCTGCCCTGGGCCTCTCTGCACCTAAGGCCCGTGAGGACGGCTGGGCTCATGGACGGGACCTGCACTCAGCTCGGCTTCCTGCTTCAGAAAGAGAAGAAAGGTTTGTGTTGATTTGCATTGTGTGTGTGTGTGTGTGTGCGCGTGTGTGTGCGCACGCACGCACACACACACGCATGTTGCGGTTGGGGGGTTCTTTCCTTCTAAACTGCAGGGGTGTGTGTAAGAAAAAAGTAACTTGACCTTGAATTGACTGGAAAAATGGCCAGACAGAACCCAGAACATTCTTCCAGGCTTTATAGTCTTCACTTTGCCGGGAGCGTGTGTGTGTGTGTGTGTGTGTGTGTGTGTGTGTGTGTGTGTGTGTGTGTGTGTGTAAACCACAGGCCCGATTTGCCTTCCTCCTTGATCATCTCTCGGGCCCTTCTTTCTGCCTGCTTCCCTCTGGATCTCAGTCACCCTCATACAGTCACGCAACCAACCCTTCCTGCACCGATCCACAGCCTGTGCCAGGCACACTACCAACAAACAAGACCCACTCTCCTCCCTGAGGACCCATGGTCGAGAGGGGGAAGATGGTGACAACACCCAAAGCTGCCCCTGGACAGGTACTGGCTGAGGCTTCTCTAACTTCAGCTCTTTGAACCTAGCAACAAGTGTTAGTGGAGCCGAACTGCCCCATGGACAGATGAGGTCGGCCCAGGCTTAGCAAGGTGAGTTCCCACCCCCCCACCCCCCCACCCCCCGCTGGGGTGTGCGGGTGCTTCATGCAGGTAGGGCTGCAAAGAAAGCTTGTGGCAGAGAGGGAGCCTGAGGGCTCAGAGAGGGCAGGGAAGGAGAGTGAGTTTGCAGGAGTCTCTTGGCAGTTGTAGCTGGAATGGGCCGGGGGAGGCAGGGAGGCTGGGAGAGGCTGGGGAGGCTGGGGGAGGTAGGGAGAGACTGGGAGAGGCAGGGAAGCTGAGGGAGGTAGGGAGAGGCTGGGGGAAGCAGGGGAGGCTGAGGGAGGTAGGGAGAGGTTGGAGGAGGCAGGGGAGGCTGAGGGAGGCAGGTAGAGGCTGGGGGAGGCTGAGGGAGCTGGGGAGGCCTGGGAATCTTTGGGAGGCCCATTGAGAGTGTTGGGTCCAGGGATTGGAGCGATAGTACAGAGGGTAAAGCACTTGCTTGCACGCAGCCGACCCAGGTTCAATCCCCGGCACCCCATATGGTCCCCTGAGCCCTGCCAGGAGTGATACCTGAGTGCAGAGCCAAGCCTTAAGCCCTGAGCACCGCCAAAACAAAACATAAAATAAAGAGTGCTGGGTCCAGATCAGGGACCTTCCCCCACGTTCCGGCGGGGAGCAAGGCTGAGATGCACTTGTGGGGGCAGGACCTGTGGGCCTTGGAAGCCGTGTCTCCACACTCAACAGCAGGGGCTGACCTCTGGGGTTCCCCTCCTCTGCTCCCATCTCCCAGCTGTCCCCCGGCCAGCCAGAGCAAGGACAAAAGCTGATTATTCCACTGGGGGCCGTCCAGGAGCCCATGAATGAGGCATTGAGAAGCCGGTGCCCACGGCTAGATAGGTTTTCACCCTCTCCCCGGCCAGACTGTCCACCTGCCAGGGCGGAGGCAGAGTCAGCAAGATGGGGGCAGGGTCCCTGCTGGGAGGGCGCCTCATTCATCTGCAACCAACCACCCTTTCTCCAGCTACCAATCTCTCGTCCACACCCTCAGTGGTGGATTCCTTTGGTAGGCCAAGGCCGGGGAGGTGGCTGGGAGGGCTGAGCGCAGGTTTTGCAGGCAGGGACCCTGATTTGTATCCCCAGGACCTCATGATCCCTGGAACATTGCCAGGAGTGACCCCAGGAATGAGCTAAAAATAACATCAGTGCACCACCAGGTGTGTTCCCCAAACCAAAAAAGAAGAAAAAAAAAAGTAAAGTGGAGCAAAGAGGACTCTTGCCTTGCACACAGACCCTGGTTCGATCCTTGGCAGCCCATATGATCCCCTGAGCCCACCAGGAGAGAGCCATGAGCACAGAGCCAGGAGTCAGTTCTGAGCACCGCTGGGTGTGACCCCAAAACTAAACAACTAAAACATCCAAAATCTGAGTACAGCAGATGAAGCACTTGCCTTGCACATGGCTGTCCCAGTTCGATCCCTGGCATCCCATATAGTCCCCCAAGCACCAGCAGAAGTAATTCCTGAGTGCAGAGCCACGAGTCAGCCCTGACCACCACCAGGTGTGGCCAAAACCAAGCAAACAAAAATTCAAAATCGATCAAAAGGTGGTTCAAGAGTCAAGGGGAGCTTCTGGGGTGCTGATTATGTGGTGTGAATGTTGATGGAGCTCTACATTCAGGATTCAAATGTCTTGGTTTTTCCTGGAACTCTTCTATTGTAAATTATTTTTTACATTATTTGGGGGCCACACCTAGTTGTGCTCAGGGCTTATTCCTGGCTCTGTGCTTAGCGGGGCTCAAGGGACCATATGGGGTATCCAGAATGGAACCTGGGTCAGCTCTGTACACAGCAAGCGTTCTACCCACAGTATTATCTCTTCTGTCTAAAAATTTAATTGTTTTGTTTGGGGGCCACACTCAGAGGTGCTTAGGCATTACTCCAGTCTCTGTATTCAGGGTCGTTCCCGGAATTGCTCAGGAGTCCATATTTGGAAGGTCAAACAGGGGCCAGACAGGCTCAAGGCAAGCACCTTAACCTCTGCTCTAGCTCTTCGGCCCCCTACATTAATATTTTTTGTTTTCTTTTGGTTTAGGGGCCAGTGCTCAGGGTATACTTCTGGCTCTGTGTTCATGGATCATTCCTGGAAGGCTTGGGGGACTATACGGAGTGTCACGGATTGAACCCAAATCAGCTGCCAACAAGGCAAGCACCCTCTGTTCTGTATAGTACTCCAGTCCCTGAGTTAATATATTTTTGGTTCTGGGGCTCCAACCCCCATCCTTATGCATAGGGGACATGTGTCGTAATCGAGTTAAATCCCCAGCTCTTAAATTAATTCCATGTATTTATTTCAGGGCCAGGAATATAGATCAAAAGGCCAGTGTGCATGCGTTATACATGGGATTCTAGGTTTGAACCGGAGCACCACCAGGAATGACCCAAAAACAAACCCAAAAATCCCCACATAGAAACCGAAGGGATAACACAGGCCAATTCAAGCTCGATCCCCGGCACCCTATATGGTCCCCCTAGTTTCGCCAGGCGTGATGCCTTAGTGCAGAGCCAGGAGTAACCCCTGAGCATCGCTGGGTGTGGCCCCCACAAACAAAAGAAAGAAAAGCATGATGATATTTGCATATCAATGCAAATACAATAACACTGGTGCTGAGGAGAGAGCTCAGAGTGCTCAAGCTCGAACCTCGCACACACCAGGCCCCGAGTTCAATCCCCGCCACCACAAGCCTCCTGCACGGTCAGGCCCAACCACGGAACCATCACACTCAGCGTCGCTGTGCTGAGTATCCCCGAGACTGGGCCCAGGGCTTCAAAGTATTGTTGGGGAGAAGCTTACTTCCCCCCGAAAAAATAGCTATTCTGTCTCCTCATAAAATCATGTGAGTTCTTGGGGCCAGGGGGATAGCTCAGAAGGCTGGAGCATGTAACTTGCCTGTAGGAACCCCAGGTTCAGTCCCCAGCACATGGTCCCCACAGGGAGTGACCCCTGGGCACCACACTAGGAGTAGACCTTGAACACTGCCAGGTGTGGCCCCCAAACCAAATAATAATAATAACAATAATAACAACGATCAAATCAGGGGGCTGGAGCGATATCACATTGGGGGAAACATTTGCTTTGTACATGGCCGACCCAGATTCAATCCCTGGCATCCCATATGATCCCCAAAGCACCACCAGGAATGATTCCTGAGTGCAGAGCCAAGAGTCACCCCTGAGCATCACCAAGTCACTGTCACTGTCCTCCCGTTGTTCATCGATTTGCTCGAGTGGGCCCAGTAACGTCTCCGTTGTGAGACTTGTTGTTACTGTGTTTGGCATATCGAATACATCACGGGTAGCTTGCCAGGTTTTGCCGTGCGGGTGAGATACTCTCAGTAGCTTGCCCGGCTCTCTGAGAGGGGCGAAGGAATCGAACCCGGCTCGGCCAGGCTGGCTGCGCGCAAGGCAAACGCTCTACCGCTGTGCTATCGCTCCAGGTATGACCCCAAAAGCAAAATAAATAAATAAATAAATAAATAAATAAAATCAGGTGTGTTTGGGCATCCCGTGGAGGGAACAGCTCAATGCTCTTGCCCTGGCCTGATTTGGGGCCAAACAATCATTTAGTCGCCCTTCCCCCGCCCCCCTCCTCCCCCCAACACACACACAGTTGCTCTAGGTTACCTCCACCCAGAGTGCCAGCCCCCTGGAGCAATGTCTCCAGGGGAAGTAACTCGGATCTTCCATTCCAGATGTTCCAGCTGTCACTTCTCCATAGCCCTGCGACGGGACTGCCTGCAAGGTCACCCGCCAGAGGGGCGCACGTGGAAACGGAGATGCCAGTGGGTCTGCGGGCAGAGGAGAAGAGCAGGGGGTGGAGGCCAGGAGACGGGGGTGCAGCCCCGCCCGCCCGGCCCCCAGCCCTGTCCTTCCTCCTCCTCTTGCCTCTGGGTGAGCTCTACACCCCCCTTCCCGCCACCCCAGTCCCTTCCTCTGCTTCGTTTTTCTCACCTATGACACAAAGGCTTGGACGTGGTTTGGTTTCCCAGCACTTCTCCAAGCCTGAACATCTGCCCAGGGTCCGAGTGTGGGTGGGTGGAGGGCACAGAGCTAGGGAAGGAGAGAGCGGGGGGGCCGGCTCACCCACAGCGTTCAGGAAAGCAGCTGGTAGAGCTGGTGGAATCCCATGGCCTAAGTTACGGAAGAGACTGCAGAGACAGCTTGAAGGCCTGAATGCATCCCGGAACCCCGGGCTTGGCGCCTACACAGTCCTCGAGCACCCCTGAGGGTGACCCCAGTCCCCAGCCAGGAGCAGCAGCCCCTGAGCACACTCAAGTGTGACCCAGAAACAAACACGAGAAAGAGCCTCAGTGTTTTCACCTGTAAATTGGGCACATTCATCTGTGAGGACTGGGTGAGGGAGAGAATGTCCGAGAACTCGAATGCTCAGGGTCCAAGTAAGGGACTCTCTTGGCACGTTCTGTGTCCTGCCCAGACTCCAAGGTGAAGAGGGTGGTCTCTAGGTGACAGATCAGCTCTGCCTTTTGTCTGCTGACTTTCATCTCATGGCCTGAACTCCCTGCACCTCTTGGGTGCCCCAAATCCTCTCATCCGGCATCCCAGTGAGCAAGGGAGCAGACCCCAGAGTGAGCCAAAGTGAGGCTCATCTCCATCTGTCCTGTGGGGAGACGAGGATGCACCCCCAAACCAATGTAGCATGGGAAATGGAGCAAATGAGCACGTGCAGAGTAACAAGCTTGGGCCACACCCGGCGATGCTCAGGAATCAGTCCTGGCGGTGCTCAGTGGGGACTCTCTGGGGTGCTAGGACGGAACCAGGGTCAGCTGCATGCGAAGCAAGCGCCCTCCCCACTGTACAATCGCTCCAGTCGCCAGGGACACAGAGCTCAGCCTGGCAAAGGTGCCTGGAGGGAGCCAAGAGCCCCTCTAGATGAGGGAGCTCCCAGCTGGGCCTGGAAGGGTCTGGAGGGTTGTGGCCTCTGGGGAAGGGGCTCCCCACTTGGCCAGGACGGCGGGCAGAGAGAGCCAGATGCCAGATGGGAGGAGCATGAAGCACATGTGGTGGAACTGGCTGGAAGCCACAAGGGTTTGCAGAGAAACCTGGGGCTAGGCCTCCTATAGGAAATGGGACTCCCCTGAGGTCCCGGGCAGTGGGGGTGGAAGGAGCAGGCCTGGAGTTCCGGAAGATCACTTACGGTCACCGGGAGGGAGGGCACAGGGAGGGCAGTGGAGGCAGTGAAAAAGAGGGGGGGTTCTGGGGAAGCAGAGGGTGACGGGTGGGTGGGGGAGGATGGGGGGGGTCCTAGAGGATCTGTGGGGGGGGGGAGGGCAGGCACCAGGGAGGGCGCCAAGGGGCCACTGTTCTCTATTCCAGCCAGTGCCCTCCAGCCCACCCCGCTGACCTTCCCAGGTGAGTGCTCTTCTGCCTTCTTCCCTTGGGGACTCAGCAGCTGGCCTCAGGCAGGAACCATACCCCCCACTCCCACTAGACACCCCCCAAGCAATGATGCCCATCTCCTTGATTTTGGTTTTTTTTTTTTTCTTTTTGGGTCACACCCGGTGATGCTCAAGGGTTCCTCCTGGCTCCACACTCAGGAATTACTCCTGGTGGTGCTCAGGGGACCATAAGGGATGCTGGGATTCAAACCTGGGTTGGCCCGCAGGCAAGGTAAATGCCCTACCCACTGTGCTATCGCTCCAGCTCCCCATCTTACTGTTTTACAGAACGAGAGACAGAAGGTGCGGAGAGGGCCAACCCCAAGGCTCAGGACTTTCTGGCAGGGTGGACATCAGGCAGGCCCAGAGATGCCCTTCGTGCCAGCTCACCCCTTTCCCCGGAGCTAAGGCTGGTGGGGGGGCCCAGCCGCTGCCGGGGGCGTCTGGAGGTCCTGCACGGCGGCTCCTGGGGCAGCGTCTGTGACGACGACTGGGATGTGGTCGACGCCAACGTGGTGTGCCGGCAGCTGGGCTGCGGCTTGGCCCTGCCCGTGCCCAGGCCCCTCACCTTTGGCCAAGGCCGAGGCCCCATCCTGCTGGACAACGTGGAGTGTCGGGGACAGGAGGCAGCGCTGAGTGAGTGCGGCAGCCGGGGCTGGGGCGTGCACAACTGCTTCCACTACGAGGACGTGGCTGTCCTGTGTGACGGTGAGCGGCAAACACGCTGGGGCTGCCCAGCGGGGAGGCGGGGGCGGCAGCGAGCCAGCCAAAGTGGGGCGTGACGGTTCCCTGGGGTGCTCTGACTCAGGGTGTGAGCTCATTGCCCCCAAAATACAGTATGACGGCTTCCACTGGGGGCCAGGCTGGAGCAAGCCAGATAATTTTTCGTTTGGGAGGAGGTGGTCAGTTCACGCTCAGGGGTGCTCAGGGATCACTCTAGCTCTGCACTCAGGGATCACTCCTGGCAGTGCTCGGGGGACCATATGCAGTGGCTGGGATTGAACCTGGGTTGGCTGCTTAAACTAATTCTCTGGGTCCTAAGGACATATGATCTGAATGAATGAATGAATGACTGGAGTGAAAGCAACAAACCGAGTGGGGATCAGAATGATAATACAACGGGTAAGGGATTTGCCTTGTACTTGGCTGACCCGGTTCAATCCCTGCCTCCCATATAGTCCTCTGGAGCACTGCCAGGAGTCAATTCCTGAGAGCAGAGGCAGGAGTAAACCCTGAACACTGCCAGGTGTGACCCAAAAAAACCAATAAAAATATCAGTGTATATATGGCCCACAATGGTTGCAGTGAAAAAATAGAAATTGTGCCCCCCTACCTTAGAATTTGATTGTTTGGGGGTGCTGGAGCAGTAGTACAGCAGATAAGGCATTTGCTTTGCACAGAGCTGACCCAGGTTCCATCCCCAGAATCCCATGTGGTCCCCTGGTCCCCTGAGCACCACCAGGAGTGATCCCTGAGTGCAGAGCCAGGAGTAACCCCTGAGCATTTCTAGGTGTGGTCCAAAAACAAAACAAAACAAGATTTTGATTGTGTGTGTGTGTGTGTGTGTGTGTGTTTGGGCCATACCCTGGAAGTGCTCAGGGCTTACTCCTCACTCTGCACACAGTGATCACTTTTTTTCTCTTTTTTTTTTCTTTTTGGGTCATACCCAGCGATGCTCAGGGGTTGCTCCTGGCTCTGCACTCAGAATTACTCAGGGGACCATATGGGATGCTGGGGATCGAACCTGGGTTGGCCACATGCAAGGCAAACGTCCTACCCACTGGACTATCGTTTTGGCCCCTCAGGGATCACTTTTGACAGGCCCAGGGAACCACAGAGAGTGCCAGTGATTGAACCTGGGTGCAAGACAAGCACCTTCCCCAAGTTCCTATTGCTCCGCCCCTCCCCCTGAGAATTTGAGTTGGGAGGGCTGGGCAGGTCTGACACTTTGCATTCCCAACACCCTCTTTAAGTGATGTGATATCGCTTTAAGAACTAAAAATGGGTGCCGGAGCAACAGTACAGTGAGTAGGGCACTTGCCTTGCATAAAACCTACCTAGGTTCAATCCCCAGAACTTCCTATGGTTCCCCGAGCCTGCAAGCACAGGAGTGATCCCTGAGCACAGAGCCAGGACTAAGTCCTGAGCACCACCAGTGTGGCCCAAGATACAAACTAAAAATAAGATCTGAAGGAGGGCTGGAGTGATAAGTCAGTGGGTTGGAGCTCATTCTTTGCATGCAGGGGGCCCCAGGCTGGATTCCTGGCCCTGTATGTCTTCCCCAGCACCAACAGGAGAGACCCCAGGCGAAGAGCCTCAAGAAGCCCCTGACCACCCCTCAGTGTTCCCAAACCAAAAAGAACTAGAAGTACCAAGAGCTAGAGGCCAAAGAAATAATAGAGCAGGTCAGGCATTTGCCTTGCATGCGACTGACCCGGGTTTGATACCCAGCATCCCATATCGTGCCCTAAGTACCACCAGAAGTGATTCCTGAGTGCATGAGCCAGGAATAAGCCCTGAGCATCATGGGGTATGACCCCCAAAATGAGAGAGAGAGAGAGAGAGAGAGAGAAGAAAAGAACTAAGAGCTAAAAGAACTCCTCAACCCAGTTTCAGGTTCAACTCCCAACACCCCATGGTCCCCCAAGCATTACTGGGCGCAGTCCTGGAGGTCCCCAGCACCGCTGGGGTGGCCCAGATATCCCCAACCCTGCAGGAACTGAGAAGGGGCAGACCACAGGTCCTATGCTGAACCACTAGTCAACTGGCTGAGAATCACTGGTGGTAACCCCAAACTCCCAGCGTACCACCTGGGTGCCCCCATCACCACCAAAAGAGAAAAGTCTTCAAAAGCTACTGCTTCAAGGCTCAGGGATCCTCTGGGTGACGTTACATGCCCATGTCCTGCCCTCCCACGCCCACCGGCCTGAGTACAATCAGGCAGAAAGATTCCTGGAACTGGAGCGGTAACACAGCGGGGAGGGCATTTACCTTGCACGTAGCCAATCCAGGTTTGATCCCCAGCACCCCATAGGAATAATTCTTGAGTGCAGGATCAAGAGTAATCCCTGAATATTGCCAGGCGTGGCTCCAAAGAACAAAATAAAAATTCCTAAAGCTTCCCCCACCTTCCACCCTATTTCTTCCCAGAGTTCCTACCCACGCAGCCCCCGACAAGGAAAGTGCTAACCAGCAGAGCACCCTCTACGACTCCCCAGAATGGGAAAGGTAAGGAGGGGCAAGATGGGGGACTTTCAGGAGAGGGACCCAGTGAGTCTCCACTATCTGATGAGATAATTAGTGAATGTGCCCAAGGCCCTCACCCCACACATACACACACCCTCTCCTCCCCTGGGAAATGGATTCATTCATTCACTCCTGTGGGACGAATGCAAATTGTGCAGTGGGTCTGCGGAAGCAAGGGAGAGGTATAAGGGCTGGGTTTCATCTCATGGTGGAGTCACAAAGGCCCAGAAATCCTGCTAATAATGCAGTACAAGAAAATGAAAAATTAAGGGTGGAGTGATAGCACAGCGGGTAGGACGTGTGCCTTGCATGTGGCCGATCCGGGTTCGATTCCCAGCATCCCATATGGTCCCCCGAGCATCGCCAGGAGTAATTCCTGAGTGTCTGAGCCAGGAGTAACCCCTATGCATCACCGGGTGTGACCCAAAAAGAAAAAAAATGAAAATGAAAAGTTTCATATAAGAGAGACAGAGGCTTAGGGGCTGTAGTAATAGCAAGGCAGCGGGTAGGGCGTTTGCCTTGCACGCAGCCAACCCGGGTTCGATTCCCAGCATCCCATATGATCCCCTGAGCACCACCAGGAGTAATTCCTGAGTGCAGAGCCAGGAGTAACCTCTGTACATCGCCAGGTGTGACCCCCCCCCAAAAAAAAGAGGGGGCAGATAAAAAGGGGAGGAAATCCAGCAACAGAAGAGGGTTCATCCATGAGAGATCAGGATCAGGGAGGCTTCCTGGAGGAAGAGCTGCTGCTTCACCTTGCAAGGTAGATGGTTTTCCAGCAGTCCCTGAGGAAGCAGCACAGCTGGGCCTTTGAAGAGTACTAACAGCGCCCTGGAAGGCTAGAAAGGGCAGGAAACAGTCCAGACCTCCTAGTGCGGAGGCAGAGCCGCGTGGGAAATGCCCCCTGCCCGCCTCTCGGCCCACAGGTGAGGGCAGCGTGCGCCTGGTGGGCGGCGCAGGTCCGTGCCAGGGCCGCGTGGAGATCCTGCACGGCGGCGTGTGGGGCACCGTGTGCGATGACGACTGGGGGCTGCCGGACGCCGCTGTCGTCTGCCGCCAGCTGGGCTGTGGGGCGGCACTGGCAGCCACCACCAACGCCTTCTTCGGCTACGGCACCGGGCACATCTTGCTGGACAACGTGCACTGTGAAGGCGGCGAGCCGCGCCTGGCAGCCTGCATGAGCCTGGGCTGGGGCGTGCACAACTGCGGCCACCACGAGGACGCAGGGGCGCTGTGCGCAGGTGCGGCCCGGGGGCGTGGTGGAGCGGGCCTTGGAGGGCGGGGCCCTGGGAGGGCGTGATTAGCGAGGCGGGTGGGGCGGAGCCTTGGAGGGCGGGGCGGAACCTTGGGGCGGGGCTGAGTGGGGCGGGGCTAACTTCGTGGGTGGGGCTAGACCTTGAAGGGCGGAGCCTGGGGATTGGTTAACGAGGCGTCGGGCGGGGTCTGAGGGAGGAGGGGCCTTTACAGGGCGAGGTCTGCAGTAGGGCCTGGTGGGGGTTTGTGGGAGGGCAGGGGCTTGAGGCGGGGTGGGAGAGTCTGGGACTCAAGGCTGTTCTGTCAGAGGGCGAGGTCGGAGGGACTGCGGGGCTGGGGAGGTGGGGGAAGGGGGAATGGGCGTGGCCTGTAGGAGGGTGTGGCCTTGCTTGGACGGTGCCGAGGGAGGGTGAGGCTTGTCTGACTGAAAACGGAGGTGGCATGCTTTCAAAAGGGTTTGGAGGCTGCTTTCGTGCTTCCCAGACTGCTGTACAACGATCCCCCCCAGTTACTTTTAGCGAACTGGGATGTGGTTTAGTGATAGAGTGGACTTGCATGTCTGAAGTCCTGGGTTCCATCACCATCATTGCACCAACTATAAACAAATTGCTGGGGCCAGAAAGGGCTTCCATTCTCTGCACTCCATGTGGTCCTCTGAGACCACCAGGAAAGCCCTAAGCACTGCCGGGTGTGGTCCCCCGAGCCCCCCAAAAACAAAACTGCTTCATATTGATGTATTTAATTTGGTTTGGGTGGGCCATACCTGGAGGTGCTGCTGGGAAGGAGGGAAGGAAGTACCCCAGACTCAGAGCTCAGGTCTTGTGTCTGATGGTGCATGGTGAATCAAGGGCCAAGGATCAGACCTGAAGCCCCAACATACAAAGCATATGTTCTATTCCTTTGAACCATCACTCTGGCCCAAGAGTTTACTTTTACTCCTTCAGTACTGCTCTAGAGGAGCCTCAGGAAACCCCAGTCCGCTTTGTGTAGCCCACATATAGCAATGTGTGTTGCATCAACCACTGAAATTATCTGGTCACATCCCAAGAATGCCTCTAAATTTCCCAATAATTTCCAAGTATTCTTCATGAAGATTTCAGAGTAAAGTTATAGTTCTCTAGATTGCTTGAGAGATTCTAGAAATTCTCTTATTGTAGCTCAGGTTACCATGTCCCCAGAATTACCCCACACAACTTTTTTTGTAGTCTAGATGCTATAATCACGGCATCACACACATACACCAGGCCGTCCCCTATTCTGAGAGGTCTCCTGAGCACATAACGGTGGCAGGGCAAATAAAGCACTGTATTAGAGAGACTCCATTCTGCAAGATACAAAGTGCAGCCTTACAGCAAACCACGAATATCAATCTCAGCTGACAGATGGGAAAACTGAGACCCAGTGAGGCAGTCTTCCCCATAGTCACAGGGCAAGTCCTGGCTAAACTTGGTTAACCTTGCTGCACAGCCTCAGGCATGTTTGGTTGTGGTTATTGGTTCGGGGGCCATACCTGGCAGTGCTAAGGGGACCATATGGGGTGTTGGGGATCAAGTCAGGTTGGCCTCATACAAGGCAAGTGCCCTCCTCACGGTCCTATCTCACCAGTCCTAGGCATGTTTCACCTGTAAGATGGGGATAACATACCTAGCTCTGCAAGCCCCTTGGGTCTATGCATGATTTCCTCTAGGAGGAACAAGACCTTCCATATCTCCACAATTGCAATTTGTGTTGCGGTTCTGTGAACACCAGAGAGAAATGAATGAGCACGGGAACCACAGCCACTTTCAAGCTGGAGCAGGCTTCCTGGGACCTCAGTTAGCTCTGAGCCCTCCAGCTCTGAAAGTTAAATTTCTTATCTTGTCTAGGAAGACCTTTCCTTGCACCCCCACTGCTCGAACAGCCCAAGGCTGACCAGAAAGCAGAAATCTTGGCTTCTGATCCTGCTCTTCTCTTCTGCTCTAGTCCTGGGTCCCCCAACCATCACTGCCCTGCCACCCTCTGCTACCAGAGAGAACGGGGCTTGGCACACAGAACCACAGGGTAAGGAGCAATGGTGCAGAGAGGGTGAGTAGGCAGGGCTGGGGATTGGAAAGTTGTTTTGCATCCATAGGAAGGAGGAGGCCCTGCCTAGCAGGCCAGGGATTTCAGCCAGATGGTAAAGTGGGTGAGAAAAGGGATGAGCAGATGGAGCAGGAATGAAATCCAAAGCTCTGAAAAGTTCAGCAGGGGAGGAAAGTTTTTTTGCAGGGCTCCCAAGTATTTTAGGCTGGAGCTGAGGTTAGGAGTTAGGAGGCCTTGGAAAAAGGTGAAACAGAGGTAGAATGAGAACTAGAATTCTCTTGGAAATAAGGCTGAAACTATCATGGGGCTTGGAATTAAGAGTAACACCTGGGATTAGGATCCAGTTCATGCCAGCCAAGTTTCCTAGTACGTACCAGGTCTAGTACACACCAGGTCTGGGACCGAGACTGGGTGTGAGAAGCAGGGGTGGGGATCATTGAGCAGTAGGGGTGTCCATGTGTCCTGCTGTAGGCCTCATCGTTCCCTGGAAATGCTTTTTCTGCAGCTACAGGAGTTGCTGTCCTGCCTTCCAGAGAGACCGCTTTGTCCACCACAGCCCCCTGGGCCTCAGGGAAGAAAAGTAGGTGGTGAAGCTGGGGTTCCCTGGGGGGTGGGAGAGGGTGGGTTGGGGCTCTACCTGGGAGCCAGCGGCCCCACCCAGCCCCTCTGGCCGGGGGCCTGTGCGCCCTGCAGGCGGGCGGTTGCGGCTGGTGGGCGGCCCGGGCCCGTGCCGCGGCCGCGTGGAGGTGCTGTACGCCGGGGGCTGGGGCACCGTGTGCGACGATGACTGGGACTTCGCGGACGCGCGCGTGGCCTGCCGCGAGGCGGGCTGCGGGCCCGCCCTGGGCGCCACGGGCCTAGGCCACTTCGGTTACGGCCGCGGCCCCGTGCTACTGGACAACGTGGGCTGCTCCGGTACGGAAGCCCGCCTGAGCGACTGCTTCCACCTGGGCTGGGGTCAGCACAACTGCGGCCATCACGAGGACGCGGGCGCGTTATGCTCAGGTGAGGCTGTGGCCGGAGACCACGTGGGAACAGCAGGGCGGAAGCGCAGGAGCAAGGAGTGGGGCGGAGCTCTGCGCAGGCGCACACGGCGACTGGGCGGGCCGAGGTCTCCGGCACGGGGCGGGGCTTACGCATGCGTACTCCGAGACATGAGCGTGGTCAGGTCTGAGTATTGGGCGGGGCCGCAGAAGGACACGCATTGCGGCTAGGGCGGGGCGGAAGGGCGGGCGAGGAGTGGGCGGGGCCCCGCTCCTGAAGGTTCTCTGCGGCACTGCGGCGAGAAGAAGCGGAGAGGACGCGCACTCCGCAGGGAGGGGCGGGGCCCGGCCTGTCGCGCTGTTCTGCGGCTGCGCGCCTCGGGCGAGCTTCTGCAGGGAGAGTGGGCGGGGTCCGGGGAGGCCGAGCTCTCTGCGGCAGAAACCGCGCGGGGCAGGGCGGGGCCGGACGCGTAGGAAGCCTGAATCCCCGCAAAGCTTTAGCAAATTGATAAGCTTTCGGGGAATGTGCACCAGACCATTTGGGAAGAATCGATGGGAAGGGGTATTTGCAGAGACGAATGCGTTTTTAAAGGCCTCTGTTTATTGATCGGTGTGGGAATTGATATATTGATCCACATTTGGTGTCCCCAAGGGCTAGGCTCCAACAGGTTCTGATTTGGGCCACTCTCTGAAAGAATGATCCTCGTCTCCCTCGTTTCTTATGGAACGGGATTCCCTGGGAAGCCCTTTCTGTTCCTAGATCAGACTAACCTCCAGCAGGTAGCTGGCCTTGAGAGTGTGTTCCCCGAGGTAATAACCACCTCTTTCTTTGTTCTTGCCAGGCCCGGAGGAGCTAGGACTGCAATTTCAGCAGGAGGGTTCTGAGACTACCCGGGTACCCACTCCTCGGCCCAGGGATGGTAGGTGCCCAGAGCCTTGAAGAATGAAGTAGCAGGGAGCTGGAGAGAGATAGTGGGGCGGGTAGGGTACTTGCCGTACAGCAGACCCAGGTCCATGTCCATCCCCAGCCCTGAGTATCGCTGGATGTAGCTAAGAAAAAAAAAAAGAATAGAGTGTCCGGCTGGAGAGCTATTACAGAGGCTAAAGTGCTTACCTTGCACATGGTTTGATTCCGGTCACCACAAGTGGTACCCTGAGCCCAGTAATGCCTGAGCTCAGAGCCAGGAGCAAGTCCTGAGCACCGCCGGGTATGACCCAAAAAAGCAAAAGTTTTTTGAAAAGGAAGGAAAAATGATTCACAAGGTCGAACATTTGCCTTGCACAGTCCCAGGTGAATCTAGGAGCCAAGAGATTCCCAGGAATCTAGGAGTAAGTCCTAAGCAACACCTGGTATGTCCCTGCCCACACCAAAAAAAATGAATTTACTCTTTAACCCCATGAGTCCGGTGGGCAGGGAAACACCAGCACACAAAATGGGTGGTGCTGAGTCCTAGGATGCACATTAGAAGCTGAGGATTTAAGGTGTGAGCAGACTGGAGCTCCCAGCCCAAAGCGTACCCCAAGGCTGGTGCATTGCTCATCCTTGAAACTGCATCCGGACAGATGTCCCTCCTATTTTCATCTTGCTGCTCTGCCTGTGTCCACTGGCTTCCAGGCCACCGCTGTACCCTAAACCACTGCCCTTCACCTCCTTTCCCTCTCCTCTCCTGGCCCAGCTTAGAAGGGGTGTGACCTGAGCCACACTGGGTCAGTCTTCACCTGTCCCCCTGTCCCCCACAGGACACCTGCGTCTGGCCAATGGAGCACACCGGTGTGAGGGGCGCGTGGAGCTCTTCCTCGGGCAGCGATGGGGCACTGTGTGTGACGATGCTTGGGACCTGCGGGCCGCAGGGGTCCTGTGCCGCCAGCTGGGGTGTGGCCAGGCCCTGGCTGCCCCTGGAGAGGCCCACTTTGGTCCGGGCCGAGGCCCCATCCTCCTGGACAATGTCAAATGCCAAGGGGACGAGAGTGCCCTGCTGCTCTGCTCTCACATCCGCTGGGATGCTCACAACTGTGACCACAGCGAGGATGCAGGAGTCCTGTGCCAGCGGTCGTGACCCCCCCCAACACACCTGCCCTGCAGACCTCTCTTGTGAGAGCAGACTGTGGCTCGCCATTTCTCCTCCAGGAAGCCCTCCAGGAAGACCCCTGAAGTTCACCCCTCACCCCCTGACTTGGGGAAAGCCTACCCAGACAGCGTGGGAACCTGGCTACATCCCATCTATGTGTGACCTCAACCTGTCATACACTTTTATGGGCCCAGTTCAGTGAAAACGCCATGTTCTGCTCAACCAAAACAGAAAATAGGGGCAGGGAATGACTCCCCAGTCTCCTCTTTGGTGGGACTACTGTGGTAGTACCCTGGGCCGGGAGGTTTAGGGGCTTCCTGTCTCCTTCCCCTGTTCCCCCTATCTTGGGATCCCCAAGAAGAGGGAAGGCAGAGAGGTCCACAGTTTTTCCCTGAATTGTTGCCCTGGCCCTGCTCAGATGGTGCTGGGCTGGACAAGGCAACCAGCGGGACCAGAGCAGGAGCAGTGGCCCTTCCAGGCAGCTAGAACCAGCATCTCTGAACTGCCTCCACCACAGAACCACCACTTTGCAGAAGCAAAGAATCGTGGGGGCCCATACCTGCTCATTCATAGGTGCCAAGTCAATAAAGCAATATCCCCCCATCCGGTGTCCCCCCCATATTTGAACTGAGGCCATGGTGTGGGTGTTGTATTGTGGGTGGTGGTGGGCAGCCCCCAGGCAGTTCTCTCAGAGGGAAACCGTGTGCAGGGTGGTTCAAGAACATACTGGAAGGGCTGGAGCAATAGCACAGCAGGGAAGGGCCTTTCCACGGGTTTGATTCCCAGCATCCCGGATGGTCCCCCTGAGCACCTCCAGGAGTAATTCCTGAGTGCATGAGCCAAGAGTAACCCCTGCGCATCGCCAGGGTCCCTGGTGTACCCCCCCCCCCAGAAAAAAGAAAGCATACTGGAGCAGGGGCCTCCAGGGGGAGGGTGCTTGCCTTGCATACAAACATCTTGGGTTCAGTTCCCAGCACCACAAAGGATCCCCTGAACCCTGCTTAGAAGCACAGAGCCAGTAGTCAGTCCTGAATACAGTTATGAGACCCAAAATATAAGCACCTATCAGAGGAGTCTCAGCCACTCATAGTCACATCCTGGAAATGCTGAGTCACCACGGCAGCCAGGGGCCCTGCCCCTACTCACTTTCTTTTTCTATAGAGAAATTCTGGAAGTTAAAAAACAGAAACGGGGTGGGGGAGGGGGGCTGGAGAGATAGCACAATAGGTAGGGCATTTGCCTTGCACCCGGCCCACCCAGGTTCGATTCCCAGCATCCAATATGGTTCCCTGAGCACCGCCAGGAGTGACTCCTGAGTGCAGAGCCAAGAGTAACCCCTGTGCATCGCCGGATGTGACCCAAAAAAAAAGCAAAGAAAAATAAACAGAAACAGGATGGAGCGATAGCAAAGCGGGTAGGGTGTTTGCCTTGCACGCGGCCAACCCGGGTTCAATTCCCAGCATCCCATATGGTCCCCTAAGTACCGCCAGAGGTAACCTGAGTGCCGAGCCAGGAGTAACCCTTGTGCATCCCCAGGTATGACCCAAAAAGAAAAAAAAAGAGAAGAAGAAAACAGAACCAGTTGACCTCCTCTTGGGGACTCAAGGTCACAAAGCAAGGTGGTAGGTTCACTAGAACAGAAAAGTTGATTTTGGCTCATTTGGGGGTCTCCAAGTGGGGAAAAGGAGCACATGATGCCAAAATCAACCCCAAGGCCTCACAGATGTGAGCAGCTGATAGATCCCTGAGCTTCATCCCCAACCCCTCAAAGACAAGATTTCTGGTATTTTTGTTTTGTTTTGAGGTCACACCCAGTGATGCTTAGGGGTCACTCCTGGTTCCGCATTCAGGAATCACTCCTGGTGGTGCTCGGGGGATCATATGGGATGCTGGGGATCAAACCCAGGTTGGCCATGTGCAAGGCAAATCCCTCTCCAGCAAAAATAAAAACTCTTAGGAAGCAGACAAGGAGATAAGGGAAAGCAAAGCATCTCTGTTGCTTTCCTGAATGGTCTGTGGGGACCCACCCCCTATGCCGGGAGCTCTAGGGCAGAGAAAATTGGGGGAGTCTGCCAGAGCTGCACCCACCCCACAGTAGGTGACTCCTGGGCAGCGGCTCTCTAGGTCCAGATTCTGCCTTCCCAACCCAGCCTGCAGGTTCCAATCATAGCTAAAATGATTCCCATGGAACTAGGGACTGAAAATTACAAACTACAGGGGCTGGAGCTATAGCACAGCGGGGATAGAACAGCAGCTCTGGGATAGACCAGAGTGATAGAACAGCAGCTAGGGCACTTACCTTGCACATGGTCAAACTGGGCTCAATTCCCAGCACCACATATGTCTCCCTGAGTCCCACCAAGAGTGATCACTGAGTGCAGGGCCAGGAGTAAGCCCTCAGCACTGCGGGGTGTACCCCCTCCACCAAAGAATAAAGAGAAATGTTTAGGGGAATTCAGTGCCTACTGTCACCTTAAACTCAGCCTGTCCCACTCAGAACACTGTCACTCCAACCTCCAGCTCTAGCTAGAAACCTAGAATGGTCCTGAATGAGCCCCAATCTCTGCACACCAAGTGCCCTCACTGTCTGTTGACTCAGTTTACTCAGTTCAAGTCCACCTGGCCCATCTGCTCTTTCCTTTTCTTTTTGCTTTATCTGGGGACCACACCCAGTGGTGCTCAGGGCTTACTCCTGGCGCTGTCCTCAGGGATCATTCCTGACTGGGTTAAGGGAACCATGGGATGCTGGGATTGAACCTAGGTCAGCTGCATGCAAAGCAATGCCCTCTTCGTTGTACTATTTCTCCAGTCCTTCCTTCTATTTTTTTTCTTACTGGGGTGGCCATGCCCGGAGGTGCTCAGGGCTCTGCCCTCAGGGGTCACTCCTGGCTCAGCTTGCTCCTGGGGGTGGGGATCAAATGGAATGCTGGGAATCGAAACCTGTTGGCTATGTGCAAGACGAAAGCCTTCCCCACTGTACTATTGCTCCAGTCTATTCTCTCCATTTCTCTTACCTACATTGTCCTCTTGTCTCCAATATATTCCCCAAACCCCAAGAACAAACAGTTTTCTGGGGTTCACCAACCTAAAGCTCCTCCCTCCCTGGTTTAAGCCCTGGCACCTCCCATGACTCCTCCACAGTGCTTGTCCCCACCCCCAGCACCCCACTGACCAGGTCCCGTACTGCCGGGCACTGCCTGTGTTTTCAGCCTCATCCTTCGCCACTGGCTGCCAAGATCTCGCCAGCCTGGATGACTTTCAATTCCCCTAATGTCTGGGCTCCCTTCCCACAGGCCTCCTCTGCACGCACTGTTCTCTCTGCCTGGAATCCGCGTCACCCTCTCCCCTGCTTCCCCTTTCCCCAATGCTTAGCTAGCCTTGGTCTCAGCTGTTTGTCCCCAGAAAGTCTTCCCCACTGCCCCTCCCAGCTCACCCCACCGCCCCTCACCCCGGCAGATCACCGGCACCAGGTCTGGATACATCTGCATCATCCTGAGGAAGAGGGACTTTAAGGGCTGGGTGGCACCCCTAGACCTCACCCCCAGTATGTGCTGACCGTGTCTGTGCTAGATAGGGGTCCTCAGCAAATATTCCTGGGTCTGGGTTGGGGGCAGCAGCGCAGGTGCTAGAACAGGTTCCTGTCCATGTGACACATGAGAGGATAGGCCACTGAGGAGAGGAAACCCGATGGGTTGGCGTGCAGGCTTTGCATGCAGGGGGCCTGGGTTTGCTCCCTGGCACCACATGGTACCCTGAGCACCATCAGGAATAACCCCCCCACCCAGCACTGAAGCAGGAATAATGCCTAAGCATGGCTAGATGTAGTCCCCAAATAAACAGGAGCCAGAAAGACAGGACAGGGGTTAAGTTGTTTGCCTTGCAAGTGGTTAACCTCAGTCTGACTTCCGGTTACCCACATAGGGTCCACTGAGCACTGCCAGGAGTAAACCCTGAGCACAGAGCCAGGAGTAAACCCTGAACATTGCTGGGTGTGGCCGCCCAAAAACAACAAAACAAAACAAACCTACAGCGAATCTCAGGAGAAATCACCATAGCCACGAGAATTTGAATGAGTGATTTGAACTATAAAGAACATGCAGCTGGGGGCCAGAGCGATAGTACAGCAGGGAGGGCATTTGCCTTACATGTGGCTGACCTGGGTTCGATCCTCAGCATCCCATATGGTCCCCGAGCACCACCAGGAGTAATTTCTAACTGCAGAGCCAGGAGTAACTCCTGAGCATCACCAAAAAGCAAAATATAAATAAATAAATAAATAAAACCATGGGGAAAAAATGCAGTTGGGGAGAGTGACCGTCCAACAAATAGGGCACTGGCCTTGCATGAGGCCAACCTGGCATCAATCCTCAGTACCACATATGGTCCCCTGAGTCCCTGAGCACTGAGCCAGGAGTAAGCCTTGAACATTGCTGGGTGTGACCCAGCAACAACAAAAGCAGGGTGGGGTCATAACTGAGGGTGGGCATGGAGAGCTCAGAGGCAAAAAAGCAACTGCCCTGGGGGCTGGAGCGATAGCACAGCAGATAGGGCATTTGCCTCACAGGTAGCCAACCCAGGTTCGATTCCCAGCATTCCATATGGTCCCCCAGGCACCGCCAGGAGTAATTCCTGAGTGCAGAGCCAGGAGTAACCCCTGTGCATCGCTGGGTGTGACCCAAAAAGAAAAAAAAAAACTGCCTGAAAGCATGAGGCCATGAGTGTGATCCTGATATCACCACCAGAATGAACTAAATGAGGTCCCCTGGCCAGCCTGAAATTGTGCGACCCCCCCCCCCCCCACCATCAGGCACTATCTCCAGAGAACAGTGGGCAGGGGTGTTCAGACAAGGTAACTAAAGTGTGCAAAGCGTGGGCCGAGCACAAGCACTGCAGCCGGCTCAGACAACAGCAAAGGCAAACAGAATATTGGGACCAAATGGATAGGATAGTGGGGAGGGAGGGCACTTGCCTTTGCACACGGCTGACCCAGGCTCAATCCCC